CTGGTAAATCGGCGGTATGCCACATAGCTATACGTTCTGTAAATTGAAAGATTTTGTTCGGATCTACGAATGAGCAATGCACACGACTAGTGTTCTTAACCAGTGATTTGACATTTTGTATTATACTGTTACCATACTGGAATAATTATGTTCAGATGTCATAATTCATTGCTACTTCATTTTTTGTTATTATCCCAGCATGCCTTTGTGATGTAAACATACATATTGTATTAATTGAGCACATTTGTATGTTAAAAAGTAGTATGCAAATAAATTATTTACACCTTCAGTTTTGTGCTAGTTGTTCCTTAATTTGATTGCAGGTCTTCTTTGGAACTGATCACACTTTGTTCATGTTATATATTACCATGATTACTGTAAGGCAATGAAGAGTATTTCTTTTTCACTTGCTGACAGTTTAGGAGAAATATTTGATGCATTACAATGATAAGGATATGTCAATTTTAATCTATGCAGTTATATGTACTATGGTTATAGTAATTATCAGCGGTTAAGAAGTAACATACTTATGAATTGGTTCGTTATCGTCTTGTTGGCCTGCCAAGCTCACAAATTCCAGGAGCGCCAACTGTAGGACGTGTATGTTGGTGAAAAATACGGAGAATCCTTCATGTTGAGTGATGCAACCCAAAGGTTCAGCTCCTTCTTCCATTTCTTCTCTCGCCCCAGAATAAACGTGGCAACATTTGGACATTTTGGTTGACATGGGCATACAGTTGCCACAGTCACACCTATCAACAAAATTGTGATGTAGCTAATAAATAATATGTAAACCCTATCAATTTCTTCATGGTACAGTTCCCTAAAAATAACCAATTTTAAAAAAAAAAAATCAAATATTTCTTATTTATACTAAAAGTTCATAATTATTTTACATTTTATGTATCCCTATATTGAAAATCTATATACCACAATAAGTATCACAACAGCTTACCGATAGTTAGACGTCTATGCAAATTGAAAATGTAATAAAATTGAACTTCGAGGCACCATAACATTGCTTTTCCTTCAGCAACATTAATATATTGACTATCGTAATTGTATTTCACAGAAAATGTTATTTCCATATTTGAACCTTCTCTTGGGTACATTTCATCATCCGAATTGTTATAACGCATGTTAATATGAAGGTGAAAAGTCTTAAATGTTATCTTAAAATCATTTACTTGTAACTACCAATTTGATAATGGCATTAAGATTTAGAATTACGTTTTTTTTCATAAATTCAAAGAGAGCTGAAACTTTGCTTAAAGAATAATGATTATAATTTTTCTTTAAAACCATCATCTGCATTCAACTTTGGCCATTGTTTGACTATGTTGCGAAAATGAAAGATCTTTTCTCACAGAATGTAGTCATGCCTGTACCTTTGCCTGGAAAAAACTCAATTTGCGAAATAAATATACGAAAGACAGAGTAAAGGTTAGGTTGTCAGGACTGGTGTTTCAGACTACTAGATGGCATGGTTAGTGAATCATTTATGGTAATTTGCTGTATAATAGTACTGGAATATTGTTATAAAACCTCACCACTTATATTTACTCTTTTTCCGAGGCAAGGGAGTTAACTGACTGTAAAAGTCCAGTTTCCACCCTTGCCAAACTAGGCTGGAAATTCAGTTACAAAACACAACCAGTCAACCAGAAGCTTTTACTGCTGTAAGACCCAGTTCGCATAGACTCTGGGGTGACAGATGAAAGTTATGTTTATCACATTATGTAGATAATGCATTTATAACTTGATTAAGTTTGTACCTTGTATAGGTCCTGCTAACAAATTCATAATGTCTAGATTAAGCACCAAGGAAGTGAAAATTATGTCGCATCCAAAAGTTTGAGAGATATGACAATCGGTATTGGGAGAAAAGTTGCCGATAATCGACGTGAAACTTGTGAGAATATGTGGGAAATACCAAATTTAATCCCCCGTTCATAATATGGACTTGTCCGACATTGCCGCAGTCTGATTCTAATCAGGGAGTCATCATTATTTAAATACTGGTAAATATTTTAAAAGCATGTAATTTTTACTAACATCCTTAAAGAGGCTGTACGTAATGTTGATATCTCATATAAGATATAAACGACTCGTGGGCGTTGTTTATCTTACAATATAACACTTTAGGGAGAATAAACCGTGCGCCCCTCCTGGTTTATTCTACCGGCAGTGTTTTATTGTATGATAAACAACGACCACAAGTCTTTTTTTTAAATGATAGATTGGTATGCTTTTTTCTTTCATTGTTAAAGTAATCCAAAAAAGATGACAGAAAGAATTTTAAAGTATGATCTATCATCACATATTTCCTGATAATAGTGGCCTTCCGCTCAGTGACATGAGAAAATACCGGGAAATACCTCTGTTTTCGAGGCTTTGTATAAATGTCACGTGCAAAGATGTGTTCGATGTTTGGTATGGTTCGAAAGCTCTTAACATCAATAATATAACGGTTACCTCGCCAGGTGTATTTTCGTATTTGTAACATGCTATCGTATTGGATAGACATTTGTTTCTAATGACAGTTTTGCTGTAATCTAAAAATATAAGGATTGTGATTGGGCAAAATCGAGCGCCAGACATAAGGCAGCCAATCAAATTACAGCAATGGATACCGCCCTTGTGTGTGATATATTTTGGATTTAAACGAAAGTCTTTGGTTGAATCATGTTATTTTGAACAATTTAAGCAGGAAATTGTGACCTATGTTTAAAATATGGAACGTTGTGGATATATCATGCTAGTTTACGACCCGTGACAAAGATTTCTCATGCATATAATCATGTCCAGGCCTAATAATCGAGGCTGGGATGTCATTTGACTTACATTACACAATTGCACGCAAAGATTGAAATAGTAACTTTGATGTAAGTTTGACAATTTTGAGAAAAATATTTGTTGATTTTATTTATTACTTTATTTACAATTTGCTTGAAACATCTATATATTGCTCTTTGACATGTTTGATATGGACCCGTTGCTCGAGATGTCATTTGACTTACATTACACGATTGCATGAAAAGATGAAAATAATAATTAAGATGTAAGTTTGACAATTTTTAGAAATATGTTTGTTGATTTTATTTATTACTTTATTTACAATTTGCTTGAAACATCTATATATTGCTCTTTGACATGTTTGATATGGACCCGTTGCCCGAGATGTCATTTGACTTACATTACACGATTGCATGAAAATATGAAAATAATAATTAAGATGTAAGTTTGACAATTTTTAGGAATATGTTTGTTGATTTTATTCATTATTGCATTCATATCCCGATGAATGTAAAGAATTAAGCCACGCCCACTGAAGCGGACTACTTTTATAACTACGAAATGTCGGGGAATCCCAATATTACAGTTGAGGGAATTTCCTTTTTGCTCATGTGTATCGTCCTGCACAAGGCATTTAGTGAAATTCATGCATATTCATTGTCCAAACAACCCTTCGAGATCGAAAGCTGAGAAGGATTGAAACAGCAAACGTTCAGGCTCGCTCGACTGTTTTTTCGGTTCCACAACTTTCATGTCTTCGGTTTCATTTCTAACTAGCATTTTTCAAACTGTGTCTTCCCGTTCTCAGGGAATTAATGTTCGAATCTGGAACATCTGAAACCGATGAGCAAACTTTTGTAAGCATCCTCTTCATACAGTTTGCACATCGGTTTTTTGATTCATACCTCAATGAACTGAAAAAAATACATTGTCAATCCTCAATTTAATTAATTTACAATTTGCTTGAAACATCTATATATTGCCCTTTGATATGCTTGATATGGACCTGTTGTTTAAGCTTGTGTCCCAGATTATTTTTTTTCCAATAACATTGCGGGAATAGTGAATAAGTTTAGATCTATTGATAAAATATGATAAATTAAAATGAAATACATATTTTCTGACTTTGTGAAACGTGATAGATTTAAAACATGAATGATAGGACAGGTAGGTTCATGAAACTATATATTATTTGACATGGCTACAGTGTGGCCAGTACGCCGGCCTGCAGTGTTGAAAGAGTTAACGAGTACTTTGAAGCTGGGCCCTGTTTCACCAAACAATCTCAGTGTTATGATTCATTTACCATGTTTACAGCTTAAACTAAACTGCAGGCAGTAAGGGCCTGCTGAAATTTAAAACTATTAGGCAACAACGAATCTGTCGGCCTCGGGCCTACAGGCTGATGTCTATTTCGAACACTGCTTGTATTTTTGGGCTCAATTGTAGCGCCACCAGTAGCTATACCGAGTTACATCCCTTCTATGTTCATCCTATTGACCAATCAGAATCCACCTCTCATATCGCTTGAACTTGCTTCAAATAAAATGGTATCGCCCAGTGAAGACGACCAGATCGATAATCAAGATATATATTTTAATAAAACTCGTCTTCCTTGGGAAGTGCATCAAATCACGTGAGCACCTTCATTAAAAGCATGAAAAGATTTGGAAAATATCTGTTGACGCTATGTTGATGGTACACTTGCTTTGCAAATCCTGCAATCGACCGAAATCTGAAAGGCAGTTACGAACCGGACGTCGATTTTGTTACGCGATTGGACTATGCATAGACTTGTTAGTCCAGCCAAAATATAACTCCATAATTCCAGCATAGTTTGGTAAGGGTTGAAATTGGACTTTTATGGTCAACTAACTCCCTTGCCTCAGGAAGATGTATTTACTTCATGGAAGATGTTTTACTGTTAATTCCCTTTTCTGTAAAATAGTGTTGGAAATTGTCATAAAACCTCCCCGCTCATATTAACTTGCTCGGAAGATATTTTACTGTTGCTTCTTGCTGGAGCAACTGGGTCACCTCCCTTTGCTCAATGTGTCAGATCAGAATTTCTTATCCAGCTTGACAGTGGAGTGGTTGATTAAGGTTGCATAGCATTACTTGATGACTCAGTGGATGTGATTTTGTATGCTTCTTTGCTTCATCTCTGGCTTCATTCAGCTACTCATACACACAACTGGTTGCAGGTCAGAAGTTTGCCCTGCTGGAAGAGAAAGTCATCTTATCCACCATCTTCCGTAACTTCACAGTAAAGACACACCAAAAACGTGAAGACCTGAAACCCGTGGGCGATCTGATCCTGCGACCAGAGGAGGGTATCTTTGTCACCCTCAGAAGCCGAACCTGAGAGGCCACACCCATGTCAACTCCTGGTCAACTCCTGGTCTGCGGGATGAGGCCATTGTAGAGGCCACGATTGATCAGGACACATGATTTTGAATTGCATTTGTCACCAATCCAGTTAATGGAAAATACATAGTGTAAATCAATAAATTTATGCAGGCATGAAATTAATGAGAAAAATGTGAGTGGTCCTTGTTTGAATAAATAAAGTGACACATGTCTATCTGGACATGTTGGAGTGCAGGTTCACTGCACATGGGCGGAAACAAGGACATATGAGACAAAGCTCTCAATAAACATTTATTTTTCAAAGGCAGGGATACTCTCATTAATTTAATGATGTATTTAAGACCAGGGATCGGTACTCGCATATATTTGGTGTCGCATTAATTTCATGATTTTCAGTAAAGTTGAGTGTCAACATGTAACAATATGTAACCATATGTAATACTTAGAAATACAAGGTCTATACACTTTCTATACACTTTATTCAGATGTATTGTAGGCCATAAGCCCATGATACAATGGTTACAGTGTGGTGATGGGAGATGGAGATCCCAACAGACTTTGCCTTAGATTCATAGCTTTTAGAATATACATGGCTAGTTTCTTAACAGTAGATGGGTTAGTGGATGACATTAAAATATTGTACTTATGTCTTGTCTTGTCTTGTCTCATAATAATTCAAAGATATATATTCCGACCTCAAAACTTGATAACAATCACAAATTAAAATAAATTGATACTCATCTTCGATATAATCATGTTTACAGACAGTACAAACTGTTTCTTCTCTAGGTTCCTTATTGTGTCTACCTGATTCAATTCTTAGATGATGAAAACTACATCTGAAACGAGCCATAATTCTTCTAAATTTATCACATGATAGCCTTGTAATATACATTTCAACACCAAATGTTTGCTTATACAAAGAATAATAATATGATTTCGAACTTTCACGTATAGCTGAATGCCAGTCTTGTTGGTACGATAATTTTAGCCTCACAAAAAAATCCTTTATAAACAAAGGTATATTTGCAACACACTGTTGATCCCATATAAAACCAAATCCTGCTGACACAATTATGTGTCTAATTTTGGAAACCCAGTTTACTTTACCATTACCTACAGCTTGCAGTTGCATATTATAGCATTTCTTTACATATCTAGATTCTGGCATTTTCAAAATTTTGCACCAATATTTAACAACTCTTTTATAAGCATAGATGTATAGAGGATATCGGCAACATTCACCTCTTATAACGTGATTTGAGGTGGAGACCTTAACACCTAAAAAGCGCTTACAAGCCATCATGTGGAAATGCAAGGTCAATAAGTACTAACAACATAGCCACATGTTTTCAGTTTCCACTTTGTGTGTAAATGCTGTTACGCTCACACTAGTCGCATTCACTGGGGGAACTGTCTTCCATTCAACACTGACATATCCCTTCATGTGAATTCATGATCCATGTACATCAGCACCCTGCTTGTCATGTTATAACATAGTCACAGGCACTCCTAGTCAGTGTGGTTTCACTGGGAATACTTTCCACTTCTGTGTTTGCATAAAACACAGTTGTATCCCAAGTGACACGACTTTCCTCACTTTGTATCTCACACTCAGGGCATAATGTCAGCACAAGGAGGAACTAGCTGCACTCATGTGGTTATCACATTACCAACCCTGCTGCAGTTGTCAACGTTTCTCCTGTCAATCTCTGGATTGTCTAGTTAGGATTGATTATTTACAGGCTGCCGTCATATTGCTGGAATATTGCTATGTGCAGCATTAGACAACAAACAATTCCATGACAGATTAGTCATTTAAAGGACAATCATCTTGCCGTGCTCCACCTTGAGGTGGTCAATTTTCTTTCTGGTGCATAGTAATTTACTGTTATTGTTTAACATATAATATCTTCAATCATTATTTATACATGTATGATTTACACATTTACTCAGGGAAACGTCAATCAATAAATGCAGTGTTTTGACCAGTTTTAGTTTCTAGTTATCATTTTTATGATAGAAAAAGTCTTATTCAGAAAATCTATTCTTGTATTCTTTATTTGTTATTGAATGAAAATATTTGCTTAGACGTGATTGTTAATCAACAAAGATATATGAGTAAAGTAGATAAGTATTCTTCTACAATATTAATTGTATATTTGATCTCACATTTGTGTTGATCTGCACATGGTGTTCTCAACCATGTGCTTATGACCCATGCTAGAGACTTTATACCTGATATACCTTCAATTTAACACTGGGGAATATTTTTTACATATAATTTAAAGCTCAAGGTCACTCAGTTTGAACTATGTGTCAAAAAAGCTGGTGTATACGATATCTTGAGTATTTATGAGTACCAAATTCAAGCATTAATGTGGCTCACTTTGACATGGCATAGTGAGACCTCTGCACTTCAGAAGATTGCTTAGAGTCCTTTTATAGAGAAAATGTGAAGCAATTTCCCTCAAATCAGCGATATTTCTTGAAGAAACAAAAGAACCACCCGTTATATGTGGTGGGGGCTGTTTCATACATTTTTCCTTGTTCAAATAAAAAAACGATAAAGATTTTACCATGTTACCCTTCATATTTTACTGGCACAAGTCATGAAAACATGGGTACAAGCGATGAAGTAATGATAACAGCTAGCATTCTCCTTCAGTAGCAACCTGTCTGAGTCCAGTTGCCACCAGCTTCTAACACCTTGTAACCTGTGTGAGTAGTCTGGCGAGTCCAGTTGCCACCAGCTTCTAACACCTTGTGACCTGTCTGAGTAGTCTGGCGAGTCCAGTTGCCACCAGCTTCTAACACCTTGTGACCTGTCTGAGTAGTCTGGCGAGTCCAGTTGCCACCAGCTTCTAACACCTTGTGACTTGTCTGAGTAGTCTGGCGAGTCCAGTTGCCACGAGCTTCTAACACCTTGTGACCTGTCTGAGTAGTCCCGCGAGTCCAGTGCCACCAGCTTCTAACACCTTGTAACCTGTTTGAGTAATCTGGAGTCCAGTTGCCACCAGGAGCGATAAACATGCCCCACATTTTCAGCAAGCTTTGCCACATAAGACTGTAGATGTCAGTCAATGAAAATGTCTTACAAAGATGGATTACTTTGTGGAAAGTTTGTGAATGTGTTTAATCCGCACATACTTTATTTTGTATTTTAAAATACGGTTCCTGCATTATTTGTGAAAAAAGGATGAGATTATATTATTATAGCCTTGTGCTAGATCGAAGCTGGAGGAACACCTCAACCAAACGACTTCCGTGCATAAAATCGGACCTGTGCCTGTAGCCTTGCTGTGTTTAATCCACTGTTTGTAATATGCCCTTAAAACACCCCGTCGCTGTATTTATCGAATTTCAAAACAAATACCTGTGACATTAGAAAACCCTGTAGCAATTTAAACATTCCTGCCTGAAAAATTACAAAAGAGGCGCCATATTTTTATCAACCAGTCTATTGAAATTTTGAATACATTTAACCCCCCCCCCCCCCCCCCCCCCCCCCCAATAAATGTGTACAGTGGCATTTCTGTGACAATATTATCATTAAACATTCACAAAGTGTAATACAGCAGTATAGTAATGTCCACCTTATTCTCTAACTCAAGGACCTTTAATTAAGGTACATTGCTGCACTTATGTGTCCACAGACAATTATTGCAAAAGAACGTATTGTCCATACTCCCAAATGACATCCTCTAACTAAAAGAGTCCGGACCAGACAAACCAGTGACTGGAAGCATGAGCACCGATCCACTCGATTATTTCATGACTCAATATCAGCAAAGTCACTCTTGATCCCCATTTCAGTCGGCTACAACGACAAGCATGAGGTGGGGACGAGGTATCCCCACAGTCGCCACTGACCAACGTTTATAACAGTATGTCTGGCTCAAAGCCTCCAGTATGTGGAGTTTAAACAATACACATGTGATATATGTGTAGTGAGCTGGCTCGGGTCAGAACTAGTGCCATGTTGCTTTGACTATGATGAAAGTGCTACCGCCTTGTTTAGATATGAGAACAAATCTCCTCACAGTTTCTTTGCATCAATAATAATGCCACTGTCATTTTGCAAATCGTAAACAAATATCAATTACCGACAGATTTAATATTGGCAGTCTCCATGACAAATGAAGTAATACTCCTATCTATCGTTCAGCGCACTTCACTGCTGAGTGTTTACTTTTGTCATTCGTCTACATACCCATCGTGATCACATGCTTCCAATCTGAATAAGTACACCGTTTATTGTTTAATGTTGGCAGACGATGTAGCTCCAGGAATGCATACAAGATATATTCGTATCAAGGCAGGTCCTAAGGATAATACTAATTCTAGTTCACACGATTTGACCATCGGAAGAATTTACCATGAAGCAAAATAAAGCATTGTTTTTGTGGTATGCTGTGGGCAAATACCGCCACCATATTGACATGCAGCCGCCATGTTTGAAATTGGTTCTGAAAACCGTCAGCACGGTTGAAGAAGTCAGTGACGTGGGTATTGCAAACTTTTGCGACATTCCGTCATCAACAGTAATCCAGCGTGAGTTTGAGAAGCTCTGGAAATTTATATTGATCTGTTTAGGAAGATTCTAACGCGACCTTGAAGGCCGGAGATCGATCTGAAAATATATAGTGCCTGCGTGTTGATATTTGGCGAGGTTTGAATCCCTGTAGACACAAGTTAAAGTGTCACTTCTTGAGGAACAACAATACATGCTTGTCATATTTGTACTCGATGTGTATGTATTTCCGTGCAGGTAGTATCCATGGTCACTTCACTTACATTCGTTGTAGGTTCTTGCACCGGCTTTGCTTTATTACACTAACATGGAATTGTGAATATGAGGAAGACCTATGCAATCGGTTGGCAATAACATTAAACACGTACCAACTCTTCCTTATCACGCGTGTTAGGAACATTAATAGTCACATTACAACAAGTTCATGAATTGTGATCACGAAAACAGAAAGAATCGGAAGTTAAATTTGGAAGAGACCTTTGTAAGGGAAGGGTGAACCGATACCGTCTTGGGTTGCTGTACCTAGTTGCGTCCCATACCAGTGTCACCAATACACTATTCCACGCCAACCCTGTTAATGCACTTCAATACACAGCAGGATCATTGAAGAAAATAAACAACATTAGTTACAAAGCAATTATAAACAGTGGTTCCACCCTTCACCGCCGTCGTACGATTACAAGCCTTCCAAGTATTTGAGGTCAACAAAGAAATCAACTGTTCAGAGAGAACATATATACTCTCAGAGAGAGCATCCGTCGAGTTGCCTAGTGCATGAAGTTCCTTTGTAGGAACATACGCTCCACAAAGCCCAGTTCTACCACACAGCTATCCAAATCTCGGACCTACACTGTGTGAACTATCTATTCCAATTTATCTGATTTTCAATATCTTGTGTAAGGACTTGCAGAGCTACTTCCATAAAGTTTTGTGATAAAGTGTCACATGATAAGCGTACTATTTGACGTGTACATTCTTAATGAGACGAATTGATGGAACTTATGCACAACACTGATGAGTTCACTTTCTCCAATGTAATAACAACATACAAGTCCCTGCTATAACACGTTTGCTGCAGATAGTTTTATAGAGCAGCACACCAATCGGTGGTCCTCAACTGTGTATTGCATTCATTAGTGTAGAACCAGGCCCCAACACCCTGGAAGCAGATACCAGGTAGATGACATCGCGGAATTGACATCTCTGTGAAGTGGTACATTAATAGAAGCTGTATATCAGACCGGACCACTCTTACCCAAATAACAGAAACCTTCCAAGCATTATGCAACAACACGGAGTCTTGATTTAATTTCATTGTATTTTCATTGATTTATTTTACTTATGCTCTCTTCAGCAAACAAGTCCAGTGTGTGGACAAGCGACGGCACACATCAAGGTTTGATGATCACTTGTGTTGGTCATTTCCTCACTTAATGTAGGTTGTAAAGAGCTGTCGATGTTTAATGTGTTTTTCCAATGCATCCTATGCTGTATTTATTCACAAGCATATCTTATTGATGATATAGCTTCTTATTGTGCAGAATATATTAATCCTCCAAGTATTGTTATTCTTGAAAAAAATACTTATTGAACTCCCAGAATAGGATAAGGTTGAGTGGCATTCTTTCATAAGGTCTAGGAATTTTGTGTGCTCCAAAATTCGTTTAGATTACATCAAATATACCTACTGCATCACAGACGCTAAGTCACTTTGTTTTTCTATAAAAAAGGCATGTTCACTTTTTTTTCTACCGTTATGTATATCGCATGCCTGTATAAACGAGACATGGTAGAATATTATATATATGGATACGGTCAGGATGCCGGTAATGCCATCCTTGCTGTCACAGTTTTCACAAAGGTTTAGAATGACGAGAGCGGCACTAACTACACCTCGTGGATTTTCGCATGTTTGTAGCAACAAAAGTATTTTTCCAAAATCTGTTTACTCTGAATCTAAAGACAATTTTCGATAGCTCTGGCACAGCAATTTGTTGAATAGTTCCACGATGTCATAGTATGCTAATTTCAAAACATTATTTGTATGTGAAGATTATTTACAACTATTAAATCAAGCAAACTGAAAATAGTACTTTCCCGATTTCGGCTAAACTGTCACAATTTAGAAATTGGGCGAGGACGACAGTTCAATAATCTGCGGGGATTTAGAAAAGGTAGGGTATGTAACTCTGATTATATTGAAATTGAAATCCACTTTTTGCTAATATGTCCAGCCTGTGCTCACCTTAGACCAATGTACCTCAATCAAAATATTATATATATATACAAAATATACAGAAGCTTGACTTACTGGTATCATCCCTAAATCTAACTATAAATTGTAACACAGCCAGGTTTTTGTACTTTGCGAATGTGGAAAGGTCTCATATCTATAGTTTATAAAGGAATCTGAAATACAATTATCACTATTTACTATATGTAATGGCCATCTGTTAT